CTCTGACTGCATGAGCATTTGTATGGAAATGCATGATAAAAAAAAGCTTGGATGACAACGACGTAGACGTAACGGGCGTATCAAACGATTTATGTTCCTTTGACGATGGTATCTGGTTTTTGATCAAAGTTTACCGTGTCCTTTGTGCCACACTTTCATTAGTTTTTCAGTCGTCTTTGACACTTGAATATTTCTAGTTCAGATATTCATTCCTTTGGCCCTTTGACTCTTTAAATTTTACCCTACAAACTGGATCCCTGAATACGCGTTGTTCTTCACTTTTCATGCCTGAAAATTGATAAAAATAAAATAAGTGTATTTTTAAAATATTGACGGAGTCCTTACAATATTTTATCAGAAATTGTTCCTTTCAGTGTACCTTTTTATTCAAATTAAGTAAAGTTACTCGACATTCGTGTAACTCGCTTTGACACTCGCACGACTGATGCTGCATCGTTTTAAATCCAGAAAAGTGTGTGTCAACTTGAAATTGTGGTATCTCTAAATCTTCGATTTATTCGATTATTCAATTATTTAAATTTAGTTTCTTGTGAATGCATGTGTACAGACTGCATTTGCACAAAAGTGTTATCAAAGCATGTAAACTAGAATAATCATGATTTTTATCGACGTTTTTCATTTGGAGATTTAATACGATTAACTATTCTGACTGAAAAAAAAACAAAATTACTTTCCGAACAATCCAAGACATTAACAATATTCGCTAAAAGTGAAAAAAAAAACGAAGATCATACAGTAATAATTTACAAACTACAATGATCCTTCGATGAATGCGACACGAGTAACGGCGTTGTTTCCACCACTGGGGGGAGGGGTGGGGGCAATAGAACCTGTTAAGTACATACTTTATTGACCCTCCGTTTTTCTTGCCGAAGCTCGAGTTTCGGGCAAAACACGTATTTAGAATGGTCTAAAGCATTGCTCCCTATAAGATTACTCTCCTAACCTGACTCATTGAAAGTGTTTTCCAGCAAACAATTTTTCACCACCTTTGCTATATACATATTTTGGGTCATAAACTCTCTCTAAAAGATCCATGCTTGCAGCTAAATATGATTTTGAAATATTTAAATATCCCAATCTGTCCATAGTACTATGAATAAAAAACCAACTGTCCTACATCAGTGGTTGTCATGCTGCCCGCAAACCATAATAGTACATTCACCATGTTTAACCAAATTTTGAGGTTATAGTTCCCAATTTCTTTTTCAATATCAAGATGCTACAGAAGTATTACCACGAACCTGACGTTTTATGAGGTGTACACTTAGACCGGTATTCATACTCGCTGCTTATTCTTAAAGATTTGCTTAAGAATAAGCAGCGACTATGAATACCGCCTTTAGCTTTGACTCTCACTGCATCTTTTAGATTACGAACCCAATAGGAGGTGATACGGTGTTTCACTTGTAATTCATTACTCTATACGACTATAAAAAAGCGGCACCACTAAAAACATGAAATACTAAACTACATATATTACACGTTATGTTTTTTTTTTAAATTATGAATATTATAAGCGATCCGAAACTTTTGAGCAGTGATGCAATCAAGTGGGAAAATCGAACGAAAGGAAAGTTCTATTCACGCGCAACCGACGTCCAAGTGATCTGAACTGTTGAACTTGGCTCCTTCCGCTTTCGTAATGTAATTCTTGCATAAATCCGTAAGAATGACCTTCTAGGCCTTGAATATTAAGCGTCCTGATAAATACGTATCAGGCGTTGCTCGTCTAGCCTTCTTTCCTTCGATCTATTTATTCGCCACTTGAATTAGGATTTCAGTGGGAATCGAGGGTACTAGAGATATAATCGAACATTTTTCATTTTTTATTTCTAATACTAGGGAGGCATTTCAGTCGTTCAGTTCAAATTAAATATTTTTTCGTAGATGAGTGATGAATGTTAGTCCGATGATGTTGACAATCGTTATTGAATTCCAATTTAGTGCACTTATGGAACTTGTTAATATGCGAAAAGCGAAAATGTGAACAATTTTAATGAAATTTACGATTTTTATTTCACTTTAAATGTAATGAAACTCTTTATAGGGGATGCATTCTGTTTAATTACGGAAAATTCATATTTTCGTTATTGCGAATGAAAGTATACCGATTTTTATAAACCTCACCGAATTTACTCGTATCTGATACTAAGATCCAGTATCTCGATTGGTCAACAGAAACAACAAATTTGGAAAGCAATAACATTTGTGTTTACACGATTTAAAAAAAGGGTTTAAACTGCTTCCAGCTATTTTTAAACAAATCAAAAAATTTTGTTGTGTACAAATAATGTTAAACAAGTTAAAGTTAGCAACAATAGTATGGTTGTTAATATTTTTTCTAAATTCCGTACCTCATTATGTCTGACATCACGGTAATACGAACTCTGTGTCGCGTAATAAACATTAACAGACGTGCAAATTGTAAGGCAAAAGTGTAATAATTTTACACTTTTAAGATAATCCTTCGATTATTACGAGCAGTGTATTTAAATCTACTTAAAAAATGTATATGAAGTATTTCTTAATGGTGATGTATCTTTACTTACAACAAATGTTTTAACAAGGTTACAGTTATAAATGATTTCTTTGATCTTTATAGTTATCAAAAGATAACTATACATGGAAAGTTACATGGAAAACATTTTTCTATAGCTTTCAGTTGCTATCAGTACCTACAGCTACCATATACTGGGTGTCCCAAAATAGCTTCGACTCCCGGAAATGAGGGGTTGTTGGGATGATTTGAAATAACTTTTTCCTTAGCAAAAATGTTATTCGAGGCTTTGTTAACGAGATATTAACGAAAAACTCCGACTAATCAGAGCGCTAGTCTGCCGGTCGAGTTCCCGCGCGCTGCGATTGTTAGCCAACGCTACTGCGGGAACTCTACCGGCAGACTAGCGCTCTGATTGGTCGGGGTTTTTCGTTATTTTCTCGTTAACAAAGCCCCAGATAACATTTTTGCTAAGAAAAAACTTGTTGTAATTCACCTCACGAGTCTCCCAATTCTGGGTTCTCCAACATTTTTGTTACACCCTGTATACGTGTGTGCGTGTTCAATTTTTTCGTGTATAGTCAATATTCAATATTTTTATATGTAAAGTTAATTATATTCTCGTGCATTATAATTTAGAAAATTAGATTCACTAAAACACAAAATAAGTAAAATATTATTTAAATGTATTTGTATTTCGCGGGTATAACCCTACTTCAGCAACGTTGCCAAGTCCTCCACATAGTCCCAATAACCATCCAATAACCTACATATCCTAGACTTTATTGTCAAATATCTTCCTGGACTGTTCGGCATCGTACAAGATTTAGTTCATTATCAGAAAGCTCAGGATTTATACTTTCAGTACCTAGTTTTTAGTTAGCAATTCTAATTTTTGTCAATAGAAAAGATTATATTTCTGTTTAGAAATCTAAGACTGCCACAAGAGTTGTGTTGAAAACTCCATTTTTGCCAAGCTTGTGCTTATTTATTTGATCGGCGACCGAGTCTCAAACTTTTTGTGTGTGTATATTTCGTTCTAATAAACAATCTGTATGAATTTTATTTAATTATCTAGTCTTTCGAATTTGGCACCTACCACCTTAAGCTTTCAATCGCTATCAGTACCTACAGGTACCATATATGTATATATGTATATGTGCCTACCTATGTCATGAATAGACGATGAAAACGATTTATCAATTCTAAATAAAATAGAAAACACGCATATTTCATTGACACAACGTTACAGTGAAATAATCGTATGAATATTCTTATCGTGCTGTAAACCAGTCTATGACGTTATGCGCTTGTTTGCTTCGCCGTTTGGTTTGCGACTTGTTTTAACGAGAGCGTTACAAAGAAATACCGAAGAATTGTATTTCTTCCTTACGCATCATCTTCTAATTTTTACACATGCACCATTTCTTCTATACTTAATTAAGTTGGTATATTTATATACTGCGTTCTAACGCTTCCTGGAAGGTAAGAACTCGTTTCCGAACGGAAAATTTTCGCCTTCGCTGTTATTCCCTATTGTTTGAAAAATTCAATTGAGGAACAGAAAGAGAATAGTCACGTAAATGAAATAATCGTACACCTTTTTCACAAATCTCATTGAAAACTATTTTATTGCTTTTCGCAAAATTCCACTAGTTGTAGCTATAGAATTCCAAGGGATTCATTCTTGTAGATTTTGCATCTATTTAATCGAGTATAATTCATTGCAGTGTTCCTTGAGATAGGAAAAATTCTTGGAACAGTCTGGTTGATTCACGTGGAATATTGGGAAACAGTGTGTGCGTGTGTGTGAGTCACGTTATTCGCTGAACTCTTCATACATTTCCTTCTTTCCCACACTCGAGCTAGTTCTCTTTGATCTTTTCCTTCACTCGCAGTTTCTTCATTCACTCGAGAACATGTGCTTTCGTATTTTCCCTATTAGCTTTTGGTTCCCAGTTGTTCATTGCTAATTTATTGGAACATACATACCAGCCTTCACCTAAATATCCGTTCCAATGTGAATAAGATTCGAATATAACGAAAAATAATTCCAAGAGAAAAGTAACATGTTTTTTAATCGCTTCAAGAATATTCTTTTACCCAAATATTTGCATGAACTAGAATTATACTTTCGAAATTTTTAAATTTCGAACTTCATTTCTAAGAAATTACTATTGAAAACACGCATGATTTAACATATGATTAGTTTTATTGAGTTTTCAGATTTCACCATAAACTATACGATTCCAATACACAGTATGAAAAGTATGGTTATTGTTCCTAAATATAACAAACTCAATAAATTCAAATATTATGAAATTCAGGAAAATTTTTTCAAGAACCTCACAAATGAATCTCGACGTCAATAATTCTAGATTGATGGGAATTACTGTATTATTGAACGATATAAAATATTAGTAGACTTGAAAAGTATATCACATTTTCTAACTGGACTGTACAATTCCGTTGGTTGCAGAGACTCACACTGTGGCGATGACAGACCCACAGTTGTCGAACAACAACAACAACAATAACAACAACAATAACAACAACAACGATGGCGAGCCAAAGTACCTGCACAAGAAGTTCAAGAAGATGGCGACGACCGAGGTTGCACCGAAATTGGAGCCAAAGAAGGATACGACGATCAACGACGGCTCTCCAGAGACCCTCAGGAAGAAGGATTCTCCCAAAGAGTCGCGGGAGTCGGTCAAAGATACGATCAAGGTCGAAACGTCCCTGGAACCATCGGATGGAGAACCAACGGAGTCTAGGAAGAGTGGCTACGTGTGTCCTTATTGCAGACTCTCGTGCGCAAAGCCGAGCGTCCTGCAAAAACACATCAGAGCGCACACCAATGAGAGACCGTATCCATGCGTGCCTTGCGGTTTCGCCTTCAAAACCAAGTCGAACCTCTACAAACATTGCAGATCCCGTGCTCATGCCTTAAAGATGGAGGGTGGTGATGCCAGTAAGGTATATATATAGCTTTAATTATTCGTAATGAAACCTCTGCTACTAGAAATAGGTGTGCAAAATCACTAACAGTGATGTATCATAGTGATCGCAGAATCACGATGATGGTCGTGATTTGACATCATTCACGACCGTGATTTTTATCTTGAATGAATTTGCTCACTGTGATTATAATATTGATCCTTAAAAAAAAAGAAAATAGAACATATTGGATATGATCGTTGAAAATGCCTATATTTATATTATTATAATTAAAGTTTTTTTTTTCCAAAAAATTACTAAATAATTAATAACGACTTTGAAATTTCAAGAAGAGACTTCGGGCGTGTGTAAAGTTCTATGTTTAAGCTTTCTTTTACTGTTTGTTTGATTAAAAAAACATTTAGTTTGAATAAAGTTATAATTGTAAAACAAGGTGACAATTTATCTGACGTACCCTGTAGAATAACCCACCGTATAGGACGTACTTTACGTGTATTTTGCCCATATTTTTAACAATTAACATCTGGAAAACAAAGCCTCGAAAGCAATTTCGTCATTCTTGATTTTCGTCTTAGTTTTGCATGTATATAGAGGCTACCTTGTGAAAGTGTCCCACATGTTTATTAACACCCTGCATACAGTACATCCTCGATGAGTGTTCGGAAGCTCCTCGGCGCTGAACATATGATATTTCATAAACTAATGTCTAATGGCCATATGCGGCTGAAACAAATATCATTGGCTTCAGAATTCCAAGTTCTATCAGTGAGGTAAATCTCATTAAAAAGTCAGCGTTACATCTGGAGACCTCTCCTTGTCAGTGTCGAAGAGCCGTCGAACACTCATCGAGGATTTAATGTATATTGAAGAGTACCGGACCGAAGATGGATCCTTGTGGGACTCCCGCTGTCATGGAACCCCTCTGGATTCGGAACCGTTAATGGAGGCATATAGTTCTCTGTCTGTGAGGTAGGGTTGGATAAGTTTGACGAAGACATTGCTAAGAGCCGTTAGTTGTTTAAGTCAGCAAATTTATAGAGAAGCGTGTCGTCCATACGGCGTAGAATGCAGATGTGAGGTCAGGGAGGATTATGCTAGAATATCTTGACATTCACTGCTGGTGGAATATTTTGGGCGGCAGTCGAATTGTTGAAGACTTTTCCGTGTAGATGGACTTTCCCTTGAGTTTAAACTTCATGTCGAACCCAATATCCTCGATAGAATTCGCATCTTTTGCTTAATTATTATTCGATAAAGAGAAACAGTAAAATAAATTTAATGATTTATCGAGGCTTGTAGATCGAGTGTATACCATGCCATGCATTATCATGCCATCGATGACGATTTCATGGAAATAATACTGTAAAGTAAGGGAGTTTTTATATTAAATTACTAGTTGCCACCTGAATATGTTTTCCCGCTTAATTCGTCCCTCGCTAGTGCTTTCGCTCTCAAATGGTCCCCATTTTTCGTCCTTCTTTTGTTGAGATTTTCAAGGTAATACTGTATTAGTACAATTGTGTCACCAATCTGATCCATAAGCATTTATTCCTATGAAGGATGATGATTTAGTGGAAACTGAAGAGTAAGTTCTCTGAAATTAATTTGACTAAAAATTCTAAATACGTACATAAATAGTTCGAGATACACCTCAAATTCTAAAGTGAGGATTTTTGTAAAAATATATTACATCACCTGAAATTTTCCTATAAAAACGTTAATATTAATTGTTACTGCTGATCTCTTATTTTTGAATAATAATAAACAAAGTGTTTTGCGGTTATATCAATAAAATTCACCAACATATTCAGAAGGTTATTCTGAAACCAGAAATATCTTAAACATTGGATCAATTGCTTAAATACTTGCTTCTAGGGGTAGTATAAAACAAATAATTAAGCAAATTAAGCTGAAATATGTCTGATTGTTTGTGGATTGTATCAATAAACCCTTCGTACCTCGACCTACTAACCAAGACGAGGCGAACCATGGTATAAATAACATTTTGAACGCGCTGGCGAAATTTGTCGGTTTGATCGCGGAATAAAATTTCTTAAACGGTTGGTAACATTTCAATTTAATATTTTTCACAGGTGTCAGAGGACTCGGATATAAGCCTGTCCGACAGCGCAAGTAACGGTACTGGCACACCACCGCCTCCGCCATCGTCGACACCCACAACAATCGTGCCCAATGTGAAAACCATTAGAACAGGAAAAATCTACAAGCCAAAATTTCACACGGCACTGCAATGCGTCAACAACGACGCGGAAACGTCTTCCCTTTCTTCCACATCTTCCAGTAACAGTTCTTCCTCAACGGCTTCTATCGCTGCTTCGAAACCTAATCCAGAGCAAGTACAGGAGCATATTGATAAAATTATCACCGACAACCAAGCGATCGTCGACGCGGTGGACCCACGTCTTCACAAGCTAATGCATAGGCAACAGAGTCTCATCGAGACGAAGCAATGCGATCAGCCGTTGAACCTTTCTTCCGCCGAGGAATCCGCCTCGAGAAAACGGTGTTATAGCGAGAATTTTACTCGGGAGGATAAAGATTGTCCAAAAAGTACGGAGAGCTTGTTGATCAAGGAACTCATACTCGAGCATGGATAATCTCGACGCTCATCGTAGATACTATTGTAAGGAAAACACGATTCCCCACAGAGAGTGCCAACTGGAAATGGAGAAACGAGAGTCCGATTTCGAATCAAAGTCTTCCGATTATTACAATACGTTGCAGCCATTACCTTCCCCCGGGCCACTTTTAGGTAACACGCGACTCGTCGACGCGTACGCGCCACCCGCGAAAAAACAGAGATCGGAGTCCGTGCCCACTGGCTTGCGATCCCTCGAAGAGATCAACAAGTATCCTCGACCGAACTCGTTGCAGATGTTCGGCGGCGAGGTCAGGATACTGGATAACACCGGAGAGACAAAAACTATGAGGATCGAGCCAAGACAAACAAACTCTCCGACCAGCGAGCACATCGTGAATAGTAAGTGCGTTACTTCAGAGACTGCTTCAATCGTAGTCAGATCAGGCCTCCACTCAGGAGGAACCATGGTGCATAAACCGCCCGGCACGCCAACCAGCATACCGAACTCTTCCATATCTTTGCCGAACACGCCGCAGATGTTGGCACCGATCATACCAAACATATCAACTCCGAGCATAGCCCCCAGTATGTCGTGCTACAATTACTTGGAGCCCCACTTAAATCCCCTGACCAGCATCACTGCCTACAACCCATTGACTTTACCCCAGGCAGGAATGACCAGTATCCTTCACGGCGGTAAAGTCATTCCTTATGTTCCTGGCATGCCTGGACCACACACTCTGACATCAGCCACAGACATATCCGCGAGTATAGCGACCGGCAACGCCGGATACAAAGTGATCCCAGGTCTACCTGGTCTCCACATGATCCCCCAGCCCTTAGACCTCGCCAGTCCGGTGAAAGCACAAACACCAAGCGTACCTGGAATCCCAGGGCCGATGACTAGTGGAAATATCTCGATGGTGGGTCAACCGCTGGACCTCGTTAGCCCAGCAAAGGACTCGAAACTCGGCTTCAAAACACCCGGTGGCGACGTCTCGAAGCCTGGATCAACAAGCCCAAAAGTTCCTAGCGTTAACAATGAGACCACTTCGACCGAGAAATATCGAAGGGTGCCGTCTACGGGGGAGGTGGCCAAGGTAGAACTCGATCGTCATATCAAAATTAGCATGGCTATTAAGTACAAGGGTATGGAGAGTCCAAGGGAAAGGCGAGAATTCTCTTACGATAGAAGTCCCAAAGCCGAGAAGGCTTACGGTTATACGAACGGCATCGAGTCAGATGTCAGTAAGATGCGATATTCGCCGAAGGAAGCTTCCGATAGCAGAAAGAGGCTCTCGACGTGGAACATGAACGAATTAGAAGAAGGTAGAACGCAGGTCGATTCCACGGGACATAGCATGACGGCGAAATACGATTCGCCTCCACCTCCACCTTCGATTTCACCTCCGCCTCTGTCTTCGTCTCCACCTTCAGCTACATCTACGCTTCCGCCTCCACCTTCGCCACTGACCCACGAGAACGGACGTCTCAAGGTGAACTTCACCGAGACCAGAGATAAGTCGATCGAAGGATATAGTACGTTCAACGGAGCGACAGCGAAGTCTGATTCCGTGACGTCAGTGGTGCATGAGATCGTGAGCATGGATACTTTGAAAATGGATGTGCCAAGTAAAACTTCAGTAGACATAATTGCCAAGGCGAACAAGCCAGAGATAAAATCGCCAAACAACGGGGATGTTAACAAGGAAGAGATCAATTCGAATAAGTTCTTGAGGCCAACGTCTCTTCCATTGAAACCGGATACCTTCACACCGAAGAAACATCACGGGATCACTCCAACGGCGAACACGCTTCCTCTGATAAGTCCAGAAACGCCGCGTCCGAAGAAATCGTACGGACAGCTTTATTTGAACGGACACGCTTATACATATCTAGGCTTGAAGTGCTCCACAAGAGTGTTTTATTGCACTCTGAACAGACCACAGCCTATGTACGTCACCCAACAACATGGTTTGTCCATGTACTCGAATTGGAAGATATGCAAAGAATCACCACCTGACGTTGACATGGCGCATTATGACTCGAGGCATAGGCCGCTTAATTATACCACCGCCTGGAAGAAGCAGGAGGCCATTCTGACACATTCCTCGCAAAGGCCGACCACTCCGACGAATATGGATAACGGTTTAGACGATGACATGCAAGAGAAAACCAAAAGGGTCAAGATATTCGACGGTGGCTTCGAGAGCAACGAGGATTATACGTACATTAGGGGCAGAGGTGAGAAAGCAGTACCCGAATAATATTTGAAGTTTCTTCAAATGGTTATACGTTATAAGTAGACTGCTGATTTTATGCATTTATAGCTATTAGGGCTTCGTGTAATACAAAAGAGAAGAAACTTTCGTCAGATGCAATGTGTTTTCTACTGTATTCTGAACCCAATAGGATCTTTAAGAAAAGAAAGAAATTCCTACCTTTGCTGTTGTTAACAAAATGTTATTTTGCATAAAAATTCGCCGTCTAGTTATAGGTTTCATCCTTTCGATGTTACTATTCCACGAACGAAGTTAAAGTTGAAAATCGAGAAAACAGCTAACGTTTTTTATAAGCTTATCTGATATTGTGATAAAACACAATGTCTGATATTGAGACCTATGGTCTGTTCCACGAAAGAAGAGCTCTGGGAGGTTTCCCTTCCTTGGCGCGTGGCCTAGTGGGGATTCAACGCAAGCTTTCGTGCGACGTTGTCACGGTCTCAATGCCACTATGTGTCTCTTTCCATCCTTCGGCACGAGCATCACGAGAAACTCTCGCTCAAACGCTCGGTAAACCAACTTCCTTCTTTACCCTGCGATTTCCACGTGTAGCGTTTAAAAACCTACGTATTAACTTAATAAAAAAACCTTAAAGTACCGAAGACGTATCGCGATCGCGACAACACCGCGAAAAGTCGGCCCTATCTCTCAGGGCTCTTCTTTCGTGGAACAGACCATAGATTACGTTATAATAAATTAAGCGGGTATGTAATATTATGAGGACAAAGTGGTCATAATTGACATTTATAAATTTATAATGATCATAGACGAGGTTGAATGCAAAAACATCGGCGCTTTAATGGGAAAAGTAAGAAAAGTAGGAAAAGCAGGAAAAGCAGGAAAAGCAGGAAAAGTAGGAAAAGTAGGAAAATTGGGAATGGTAGGAAGGGTAGAAAAAGTAGGAAATGTAAGAATGGGAAAAGTGGGATAGGCGGGAAGGAGGAAAAGTGAGATAAGTGAGAAAATCGAGAAAAGTAGGAAAAGTGGGGAAAGTAGGAACGGTAGGAAATGTAAAAAAAATAGGAAAAGTGGAAAAAGTAGGGAAAAAAAGAAGGAGAAGTAGAAGAAGTAGAACAAATAAAATATTACAGAATGATACGATACCTTCTGTCAATGAAGGAATTCGTCAGTGTTTTCAAATAAAATAAGACTGAAATCCATTTTAGCCAAAAAACTTTAAAACATTTAATATAGACATCTTAAAAAGGGACGTATTCAAACATATTTTTAACAATTGAAAATTTTACCAAACTATTTGTGCAGTCTGCGCTTCTTTCCATTCAATTATCATTTACTTTTATATGTAAATTCGAGTGTTTGGCAAACAAGCCTGTTTACGATGACAATGAAGTACATATTGCAACAATGTATATACTAACTTTCTTATACCTATATCTAAGATTTTATTATAAATGGAATGATGAATTTATTAAATCTTCAAAACGACTACAAAATTAGATGGCGTTAAGAGATTGAATACAACTGGGCCATTCTATGCCAAATCGATCACTTGTTGCACTCGGTGTCAATGCGTTTGTTCAAAATTAAATATGATACAGTCCACGTGAAATTATGGGAGGGGGAGGGGGTTAGTCATCACATTGAATAGAAATTCATAACTACACCCCGATTTCACGAAAACAGGTAAAAAATTTCGAACTTCATTGGCCTGTACTTTTTAAATCAATACGATACCAGCGAAATGATGAATTGAAATCCCCCAATTTCACGTAAACTACATCATATTTCATTTTGAACAAAATCATTGCAATAATTATATTTTAAAAAAATTATAATTACCTGAAAATTATACTACAAAGACGCACAAACTTTTACCGGTACCCAACAGTATTTATTTCAGATAGCATATTGCATAATTAAAAGTTACAATTTATGACTCTGTTGTATAAGGTCGAGGTCGATATGTTTGCGAAGAATGTGGCATTCGGTGTAAAAAACCATCCATGTTGAAGAAACATATCAGAACGCACACAGATGTAAGACCATACACATGCGAACACTGTGCTTTTAGGTAAGTCACACCCCACTTGTGTTTTATTTGTTTTGTATTTGTTAAGTTACGAATATACTCGATTCAAGAATAAGTACAATTTTAAACCCCATAAAGTAGCAGTAAAACTAAATTTAAAAGACAAAACGTAAGCAATACAATTGACTTCATTTGATTAGCAACTGAAGTTTTATATTGTATTTTATAAATGGTAGCATGAAACAAGTAAACTATCTGTCGTTGCTTACTGAACCGGTGAATAAATACTAAATAAAAGTATGCTACTTCACCCGCCTAGTATATCTCACAAGTATTATAATATTTATTATCGTTTATGTTTTGAAGATTGATGTTTAAAACTCTGTTTTGATTTTGGTTCACGAAGGATATTGCCGGAAAAACAACAAAGCACTATAATTATATTTCTTTACAAAGTGATTGAGATTAACAGTAGAAATGGTTGGATAATGATAATAACAAATATAATAATACTTCTGTTTTGTGAAATTGATAAAACAGAACATGGTTATTTGAAATACTCAAGAAAATATAATCAAAAATACGATAAAAACATTTTAGATATTTACTTTGATCGGTGTGTTATTCTTAAACTCGTTGCTTTTAACGAGTTAATAGGTACATATTTTTCTTATTCTTTCCTTTAAATAAAAATCGGTTACCGTACGTGCCACTAAACATAGAACATAATTATCTGATTAAATTCCGTATCCTTTACTACATTCTGTGCAGTTTTAAAACCAAGGGCAACCTCACGAAGCACATGAAATCAAAAGCTCATTATAAAAAGTGCGTGGAATTGGGCATCGTTCCCGTCCCCACCGCCGTCTGCGACGACAACATCGACAAAGAAGCTATTGCTCGGCTAGCGGCGGGCGGTAATACCGAGGAATCTTCGGAAGAAGAGGAAGAGAGCGACGGTGATGAGAGCGAAGAGTCTGGAAGCGAGGAGCAAGAGGCTGCGCAGAGTTTGCTGAGTCTCTCGCAACGGAACACAAACAGGCTTCCAGGACTGCTGCCTTCCGGTAGGCCAACAACTTACCCGTACACCTTAACCTTTCCGACAACCTCAGCACCCACAAGCGTGTCCATTACCGTGAGCAACGCTCCCTTGGCCGGGCAAGGTGGCAGCACGCAAGGAACAACTGTAGTTCGGAACGAGTTACCCTATCGCTACTACTTTCCGTCGAGTCGCACCGCTCCGGTAGAATCGAGGACAACTGTGATTCAATCGTCAAAAAAGGAAAACTCGGACCTGGATGTGGAAGAGGTCGACACAGACTCGCGGAACAGCCTCTCCCAGCCGATGGATCTGACGACGAAACCGACTTTGCAACCGCTGCCTTGCCCCATTCCTCAGAGGGCGATGCCTGCGGACATTCTGACCCCCGTCTCGGAGCCCATCCTACTGCAGACGATCGTCCAAACGATGGAAAGATTACCGATACAAGGGAGGGAATGGAAACCGAACGCCGAGGGGCACATGCTGCAAGCGTATCTGACGGAGAGACACGTTATGGACAGTAAAATTAAGCAACAATATAGGGTCGGGAACACGAAGCTGGAGAAACAGCCGAAAGAAAGAGACTTCTATGTGAGGCAGCTTTCGCCGAAACCAAGGAGCATGCAATCGAATAATGTCTCCACATTGACTTACACCGCCTCTAGCAAGATGCAGCAGACCGTCGTGGATTCGAAAATCAAGCACGTATCGAAGCACACCACGGATGAAATTAAAATGGAGATCAGAGAGAAAATTTATCAGAATAACGTAGAGCGACGATCTTTCGACATAGAGTCGATCCACAAGGACAACGAACAGGGAAACCGAGAGATCACCGAAAGGGACCACTTCGAGCATGATGCAATGAATTCTGTCAACTCGAAGCTAAGCATAGAGTATGCTGTTGTACCCACGAGTAACAACTGCACGGAAAGAGCAGGTTATTCTGTAGAATCGCCTAGCACAAATACGCCGCAGAACATGGACTGTCACTCTCCGAAACCGTTTAGCTTCGACGCTAACAATCGGCAGCTGTCGATTCCACACATAAACAACGAAATCGACAGGAGTTCGGTGTTCAGTTCGATGAAAACGATGAACGAATTGGATAGACAAGAGATCAGACCGAGCAGTCACGAAATTCGAACCGTGTCGACAGATCTGCGAATGCAGAATCAGAGTCCACGGAATTTGGACATCAGGCCGCCCAGCCGAGAAATGCGACCGCCGAGCCAGGACTATAGAGGACAGATGCAGGAATTACGGCCTCCCACTCAAGAGTACAAGTTGTGCAGACAAGAACTGATACCTCCTAGTCGAGAATTCAAATCTCTGAGCCACGATCTACGATCGAATCAGGAACTAACCCCCTTGAACAATAAGGAAATGCGCCAAGTCAACGTAGACAACAGACCTCCGAGCAGAGATATGATTTTGATGTCCGATTATAGGCATGCTCAGACCCAAGAGCCGAGAGTGAATTTTGAAATGATGCCGTTAACGTTGCACGAAGCGTCCAAAATGCAAGAAGCCACGAGATCGCAGAACGTGGACATGAGAAGCATAGATCGCGTGGAGATGAAACACACGGAACTGACGAAACAGACCATAGCGGAGAGCATTAAACATACTGTGGCTAGGAAAATGGTTGTCGGAGGCCCGGGCTTCAGGTCACCTTCGCCTACCGCGGGAAATACAAAACCACAAGCTGAGTTCTTGCAGCCTTCTAGCGGACCTGCGCCCAATTATGTCAGGTGAGTTACTTCTTCGTGTACAGACATTAATACTCGATTCACCGCAATGATTAATTACTAGTACAGTGATCCTTCGATGAATGCGACACAAGTAACAGTGTTATTCCCATCACTGGGGGAGTCCCCCGTGGAAGCAATTAAAACAGAGTGAATAAAAGCTAGACTTCGTGTAAAAAACAAATTTATGGGGGGTTGAAAACCTTTTCGACATACCACGAATGCTCCGAAGTGGACTTGAGTACGTTGCACTCATCGAGGGATTACTGTACTCGATTCACCGCAATGATTAATTACTAGTACAGTGATCCTTCGATGAATGCGACACAAGTAACAGTGTTATTCCCATCACTGGGGGAGTCCCCCGTGGAAGCAATTAAAACAGAGTGAATAAAAGCTAGACTTCGTGTAAAAAACAAATTTATGAGGGGTTGAAAACCTTTTCGACATACCACGAATGCTCCGAAGTGGACTTGAGTACGTTGCACTCATCGAGGGATTACTGTACTCGATTCACCGCAATGATTAATTACTAGTACAGTGATCCTTCGATGAATGCGACACAAGTAACAGTGTTATTCCCATCACTGGGGGAGTCCCCCGTGGAAGCAATTAAAACAGAGTGAATAAAAGCTAGACTTCGTGTAAAAAACAAATTTATGAGGGGTTGAAAACCTTTTCGACATACCACGAATGCTCCGAAGTGGACTTGAGTACGTTGCACTCATCGAGGGATTACTGAACTGTTCAACATGAATTCCGATCTACGATATCCATTGGGTGATCCTTGTAAAGTTTCTTGTCCCAAACACGAATCCAGAAGTAGAATTGCTCTAAGACGCTCAGTTTTTCGAGGAAATAAGTTTTTGTAAAAACTCACAGTTCTGGGAAGAACGGACGTATTTATTACGTGAAAACTAAAAAGGATAGATAGCTCAACTCAATCTTAAAAGATAAAACAGAGTTTTATGAATAAATTATTGTATAAAAATATTTATTAAATTTTGTGATTTTGAATGATTGTAAATGGGCGAGAGGAGGTTACTGTATCACAGTTTGCGTGGTCGGATGGCAAAATGTGATATGTCCAATTTTCATTAAAATTGAGATATGTACCTCTTCCACGTGTGAATGTATTTCAGAAACAACATGAATGAGCTCAGTGAACTTGAATTAAAAATCACTTTTTACGGCGATTAATACAAAGAATTGTATTTTTTTTAAATTGTTTTTTTTTACAGCTACACAAACTGTAAAGTTGCTGTATTAAAACATTAGGAAAACTGCACAAGACACGTTTCATTCACAAATTTCTGAAAATATTTAAATTTATAAGTTAACTAATTTCTTCATTTTTATATTACAATGAAAGTTGTGAAAAATCTGAGAAAAGTGTTGTTGTAACACTTTAATCGTCAGTGTAAGAATATACTAACCAGTCATTTTGATTGCTTTGGTATTTCTAGTGTCAAGATTGAATTTTTGCGTTCCAAACAAAAAGCCTCGAGCAAGGATACTTACCGTTAGTTAATTTCGACACAAGTCGATTCACATATTTTCATCACATTAATGTATTCATTATCCTTCTTTTGTTGAAAATGAAAATACCTTTCGTTGAAAGAACTGAATCTACCGAATGCAGTTACAGTGTGACTGAAGATGGAAGAAGCGTCTGCGGCATTTGTAACAAGGTGTTCAGCAAACCTAGTCAGTTACGGTTGCATATCAACATTCATTATTTCGAGAGACCATTCAGATGCGAAAGTTGTGCTGTTTCTTTCCGAACCAAGGGTCATTTGACAAAACATGAAAGATCTGTTTCGCACCACAATAAGGTAACCCAACTGTTAAAATTTTCTTTTTTTCTTTTTATACAATGTCTGTCCCGAAAATTGCCAAACTTTTTAACAATAACAAAACACAAGCAAATTTTGGGAAAAAAATGTTTTATTTCATTTAAATTACCATCTCCAGCGAAACAGCGTTTTGTACTGTTACGCAACGTATCAAATGACTGCTCTGTGTCCTTTTTTGGAATGTCTAAGACAGGGCCGTTCCTGGCGTGGGTGCAAAAGGTACCCCCACACCTGGACGGCCGCAGATCTTCTATTATATTTAAAATTTTAGCCAGTAAAAATAATAATCAAGATTTTTTTATGATTATGAAAATTTTAGACAAATACAATTCAATCGAATTAATTTTATATGTCATATTGGTGATACTACTCGTATATAAGAATGAACTATCTTTAAGGACAGCCCACAATAGCATAAGATATTTGGCCATATTTATTGGATTAAATTCGTGTAGGTAATTAATGTTCGTTACTTATCAACCATAACATCATTATTACAAACATTATACGTTAGTTTTGTACATATATGCGGAATAAAACATTTATTTTAAATAAAACCATTTGTTTAAGGATCTTTGATTTATTAAATAAATCAAAGATCTTTAACAACCGATTTGAGGAACTTTGGTCTTTACGGGTGGTTTTAATAATCTCTAGACAACGATCAACTTGATTCCGTTGAAACCGTGCAAAAACCTTGTGAAGTTTTAAATGCGCGGTAAAAATGCAGCAAGTCGTGTCTTTTAATAATCGCATTTTTTTCGATGTTTTCTGATGAGAGTCTCGTTAATGTCTTCTCAATCCACCTCAAAAAAATTATGTCATGGTTTATTTCTTTCTAATTTTGTTCAAGTGTAACTAACTATCTTAATACTTTTGTCATGTATAATTTTATTTAGTATTGAAAAATGCAGTAGTTTTGTAATGTAACATCGTTGGTATCCCTATTTCAAACATTATAACAAAAAATAGTTGGTCCCAGATAATTGCCTGGTATTGTAGTTTAATCATGTTCTGAACATTTTCTATGGTTTTCTACGCAAGAAACATATTTTATTATAACAATCTGATTGTCCAATTTAGTTTCCCAATTTTAGAATTGCAGTTAAAAATTCTGGGTTACAATTTTTTAATTACTCCTTTTCTTGTAGGTCAGTATGACTTCAACTTTCGGAGCTGCAACGACCAGCAATCCTAGGCCATTCAAATGTACGGACTGTAAAATAGCATTCAGAATACACGGACACTTGGCGAAACATCTTCGCAGCAAGATGCATATTATGAAATTAGAATGTTTAGGTAAATTACCGTTTGGAACGTATGCGGAAATGGAAAGGTCTGGTGTCAATTTGAATGACATTGATACTACCGACTGTGATAATAGTCTTACTAGTCTTCAGGTATGTAACGTGTTCGACTATCTCACAATAAGTTAAAACTAATTTACTTTATATAAGTAACGTATATACAGTATGTTTCTTTTAACTGGAAACGCAGGAATATCTCATAAACTGTTCAAGATGTAAAAGAATGGTTATCATGGGAATTATTAGGTATGGAGGGAGAACACTGTTTAATTTTCAGTTTAAAAAAGCACACTGTATGTACCAAACACTTTTATTATTAGTGCTTAAATCAATGAATCTTTATTCAACATTAAAAAGCAACGTTATGTTGAAGTTCATATTACTAAAAAAAATGAGTGGAAAAAATTTTGCTTTTTTTTATGAGCAACGTGGGAGATTACGTCTTTTTTTTAAGCCACAATTGTCAAATAACTAATTATGGAGGCGTTTTTGTGTAAGCCCTTTTGAAAGCATTGTTTTAACATTTTGCCAGCATTGTAACGAGTTTCATCAAAGGTTTGATGGCCTACTGGTTGATTGATACCATAAATATCAAGAGTAAGAATAAATAAATCATAATGCTACAAATATTTATGCGTTGAGTCTCTAAATATTTGCAAAGATGTCGAAGAAATGTAAATAATACGCCGATGTTAATGCACTACAAATTTATAATCTTTTCATTAATACCCTCATCAGTACCCTCGCGAGTAAACTCAGCTTCCGCTAGGAGAAAAAATGACCTAGGGGAAGGGCCTCTTACCATGTCTCTACCTACCTCTTGCTATTGGGAATTACTGAAATTTATGCTAAATTAATATTCAATTTAACATTTATTTCAGTACTTGAAATAAATTTACTAAATGGTAGGAGACTTTTCTTTTACGCCACTTATTCCCCTACCGCAAGCCGAGTTTGCTCATGAGGATACCGTCATTCTCAGAAATTTTAAACCATTCTAAACAAACTCTTGTATGCATATCCTGGACTTTCTAAATGACTCGTTTGTTTTAATAGATACTGGCTCAAAGACTTTGCGAGAAAGATCCTAGTAAAATAGGTCACTGGGATTCTGAAACGATTCCGAGTCAAGGTATTAGCGGCGGCGAAACTTCCTCGGACGAAGGTGAACCTATACTACAACAACATGCAATGCAGCCATGCCCCGTAAAAGTGACTACAGACGCAGACATGTCTCGACCATATCATGTGCCAATCACCAACGAAGATCCAAAGTCTGATGTTTTCCTTGAGAATCCTCAATTCAATCAGCAGGGACGCGAATATATTGCAAAAGATAGGCTAAATGAGTCTACACTTCCAATGGAGGACGCAATGCTGGATAAAAGCATACAATTATACAAGTGCCAAATTTGCACAGCGTCTACGCGTACCATGAACGAATTTCAAGTACATTGTTTTGTTGAACATAATATTGAATCGGATTCTAGTACAAATATACTAGGGGATAGGGGTGTGAACAAATGTATGGAGAAAGAAAATACTCAGAAAAAAATTACAGAAGAATTTATAGTTAAGGATGATCACAGTAAACAAAAAACTGAAGACACGTAGTGCCAAAATAATACAGTGAACAAAGAGATCAGCGGTGAAGTTGTATGAGTGAATTTGTTGTCGTACCAATAAAATAGTCTAAAATAGTAAGAGGATTGCCATCACATTTCGAAGGAAATTTCACAATCATAAATACTTACTGTCATTGGTTACATAGAATATTTGTTATTGCATTTAAGAATTAGAGAAATATTTTCAGAAAACGGAGGATATACAATACATTTACAAGAAACTGTATGAGAGAAATGTCTATGTAATGGTAATATATGTCAACTGCTATTATCAAGAAATATTGTTTCCATTATTATAAAAGCCTGGTTCATATATAAGTTATGAGTCATCACATTTAGAATGTGTTCATCCAAGGTAGAAAAGAAAGAACTGTTAATGAAGGAATATGATGTAACTGTACTCTTCTTCAGCGTTCTGATATAGAACAAAATCTGATGTTTTAACACATATTTTTGTATCAATTATTATAATCTTGCTACAAGAAAGAAAAACAGATTTCTATTTTTTAAACAATATATCAAAACTATTTTTTCAGTTTTTAATTACAATTAGACTGAAAGAAAAATATTTTTCAATGAATTCTAAAATCATAAAAATATCGATAATTATTTGAAAGTGTATTCACCTTACCGATTTCGATGATTTTTGGATATGTTGTAGAAATTAACATTTTGACCAACTTTTTCCTATACAAATAACTCCCGTTCGGCCTTAATTTCTGAGATATTCGTTAAAAATTATCGGTACTACTGCCCCGATAACCAGATGTATGCAAGTTTCAACGACAATATTTTGTCTAAAAAACCATAGCCATTTGTTTCCACATTTGACTTAGGTTTTGCTGACAAAAGTAGTAAAACAAATTGACAGCAAATTAGCAACAAGTGTTGCAACACAACTCAGGCTAGCTGACTTAGGCCATATTGCAAGACTTGCTGTTAATCTGTTGCCAATCACTCTGCAGGTTGTTGATAGCAAATCCTGCATCAAACTTGTAGGCATGTTGAGTACGTAACATTATAACAGACATTGGACAAAATTTGGATGACTGGAGCTAGTTAAAAATACTATTGTATATGATATTTTGCTGTTTACAAGTTGTATGTTATTGGTCTTATGTATTCTACAGTACACACCAAACACCTCTAGCATTGTTTACGTGCTAGTTATTTAACATAACTATTCTACCCAACTCTGAATAATTTTTTTCTTGAACTGTCTGTAACCAACTCTGATCAGTACAATGCTTTGAACAGTATTTTTTTTCATGTATAGGAAAAAGTTGTTCAAAATGTTGATTTCTACAACATATTAAAAAATTATCAAAATCAGGGGTTGGACGTACTTCTAAATAATTATCAAAATATCCAGTAATATACTTAATCATCTTTATAAAATTAAATTCTTTTTCTGTTTAAAAGAAATAAGTGTTTCTTTTGTATTCTTTCTGTGGGAACATACCAGGGTCTGACCTTAAGACATTATAATGATTTATTAAGAGTCATATGTTTTATAGTTCTTTTATAGAAAAATTTATGTTGTAACACTCAAAATGTACATACTTTTCAAACATTAATGAATAAAGGAGCAGTACTAATTAAGGAGAAACACATTTTCCATGAATCGAGTGAAGCAGTATTCAACTTTATTCTGTTACACATTTCTAGTCTCCTTAACAATTCTGTTACAAAATAAACTATTTCCTTGAATGACATTATAGATGAATTGTTACAATTTTTCTTTAAAATTTTGAAATGTACATGTGAATGTAATTACAAAGTAATGCAGATATTCTCAATAATGACACAGAACGAAAATTTCCATTTTCGTGAGCGTTGTTTAAACTGTTATAACCTTCAAGACAATATGTAGTCTCTTTACTGTTGCTCATGTCTTATATGGATACTTATATATACAGTGGCCTCGAAAGCATTCGAACGTTCGCTACTTAAAGTTTCAGTAGCGAGCGTTCGAATGCTTTCGTAATCCACTATGTGTATTAAACATGATATATACATAATGTGTCTATACATATATATGCTGGTATATGTAATATAATAACATATGTACATATAAACATATGAGCCACAGTGAAAATATTATTGTCTTAAATGTTATAATATATTTTTGTATTGTAGATCTTTAGATAAATTGAAAGGTAAATTCAATTAACATCACATATTTTAACAAACGTCTCTTCGAGACACAGCTTTACACACATAATGTCGAGTCTAAACATTCTTATTCGTTTTTTGCAGAGTACTTAAACTGATAAAAATCTTACTTTTCAGCAATTTTTTAGTGCATTTATTAAATACGCATCCTTTTTGTTGTCTATTAGACAAATCGACAAAGAAAATAATATTAAAAATAAATCTGTTGAAATCAATAAATCAAATTAAAAAAATCTTTTACCCTATGAATAAAATTGATTTTTTATTGATTTAGGAATGAATGTATTATGTGATGAAAAAGTATGTACCTATTTGATTTTTATTTGATTGTTAATGTCATATTACGTTTGAATTATATCATCATGTAAGTTATAATTTAATCTTTATTCTATTTTTATTTTGTTGAAAAAATATTGACAACATTCACTTTGCCCTCTAACTTAATTGCTTTTGCATATGGTCAAACTATTTTATTTGCCACACACTACACATTCTTTTCTCCATTTTGGTCTCAGTTCTTACATAATCATATTAAAAGAAAATGAAATCATTGAAAAAAGTTATCTAATGCCAAATATAATTTTTAATATTTATTTCTTCCTTACATATCCTTACCAGAAAATTTTCAGTCTGGCAAAATCTTTAAATTTTATCTATACTTATACATATAGTTCACAAATAGCTGGAGTTAAATATTAAATGCATATAATGATAAATTCAGATACATAAAAAATACTTGTATGCATCTTGTATTACATACAATAATGGTATTACTTATTTGTATCTTTTATGTACAAAATCGTTTAGAAAACTATGAGAAGAACAATGGTAAAAATTGGCCCATTTTTGACTTTCCTATCAAAGAAAAATGTTTACAGGATACGTTTCTTCTACAGGCTTTGTGGAGTTCGAAATGCATAATAAAAATTATAAAAAATACACCTTCACTTTAGAATGTTGCCATCAATAAAACTCACCTGATTAATGTATATTATCATTATTTTCTACCGATGATGATCCATCAACATAATCTTTAAATACTGGCCATTTTTAATTATTGTAAAGTTTAGAAACATATCTTTTGTATCAATATTACTTTTTTCATAAATATTTAAATCACGTATTATCTGTTATTGTGTGTGAGTAGAAGATTGGTGCACGAGTTGTCAATTATCGCTCCTACACAATTACAGTTTTGTAATAATTATGCATTTGGTACACCGTAAACCTTGTAGAAACATAAGCTGTAAATACGTTTCTTTAGCAGCTAAGTCCAAAAATGGTCAAATCTTACCATTTTTTTTAATAATTTATTTTCGATGAAAATATCATTACCTGCATAAGTGTGATAAAAGAAATAATAATACATTAAAAAGAATATCTTTCGCGTCGTTCTGATTATTATTCGAAACCACGAAACAAGATGAAAATTATTATTCGATGCTTGTTAAATTATTCTTCGAAAAGTGATGGAGTGTAACTTATAAGAACATAGTTCTCATACCTAACAAAAAATATAATATTTATGTACAATAGTCTTGTATCAGTACGAGATGCAATGGACTGGCATGTGATTCTGTATTTAAAGTGCAACTGTTGCGTTCAACATTGAAGAGTATTCTAATATTACAAATATAATTACTATATCTTAACTATTGGTACATGAAACATACACACATACACATAAAGTGAGTGAGCGCATGAGAGACAGAAAAAGTAAGCGAGAGAGAGAGAGAGAGAGAGAAAGGAAGGATAAGTCACTTATAACTAAATTTACAACTGCTTAAAAGTATAAATATAAAGAATTTCAGTATCATAGATTTTTGAAAGTTAAGAATATATATTTTTTAGTACCTATATATGGATATAATGAATGAAATTCGAAAATGTTTTAAATTGATTTCTTCTCTCGGTAAAAAAACAGCCTTTTTAACATTGCAATAAATTAATTTGCTTCTCTTTGTGTCGCAATGCTGAATTTGTGTACTATCCTATTCCAGAATGAAAACATATCCATAATCTCTAACTCTGAAACGCAACATTCAATATACTTTATTATGAGACTTCTAAATAATAATATTTTGCAGTATATGATAAAATTACATATGCCACATTACGCTATTTCCACTTTCGTTAAAATACATGTAGTTTCTGTTAAATACAATTTACATCTATCGAATCAAACATTTCTTTATTTACATTTCATTAATATTGCCAAAAATTAAAAGATACTTATAAGCCTGTTTTTAAGTGACTTATTCTGTGTCCGTGTATTATACTAGTATGAGCGATAACACAAATTATTGTTGACGTAAGAACAGATGTGTTTGTATATATTTATGTTTAATATAATGAAACCATGTTAGTCTCTATCATAATTTTAAGAAGTTCATAATTAAGACAATCGGTTGTTCGGTTTTATTAAAATTTATGTATTGTCTGATCTTGTTCGTAGTCTTTCCAAAATTCATAATGTTTATGATCTTTAAAAAGCAAGTTAGGTAAGTTTTCTCAGCTTCTTATCCACGGTGAATGGATATAAATATGCAATTCGCTATTCATAGCTCTAAATTGCTCGTAGATAATTCTTGCAACTTGAAATAATTGCTTATTTATTGTTCATATCATTCATACTCGGGCTTAGTCAAGTTATGAGTCGGGAGGAGGCAAAATCCAATTTTTTCCCTCTCAAGGGTTGGCAAGTCCACTTTTTTCCCTGTTAAAAACGGGGGTGGGTCTCCTGCCCCCTGTCAGGCTACGCCGATGCCTATGCATTCATACGTATCCAGTACTGACTATGTAATAGTAAAGTCTACAGATAAGAATGCTAGCTTCTTCGCCATAAAACTAGTATTGTTAATTATATAGAACAGGGTAGACCTCGCCGATTTAAATAACCTTGATATATATTATAAAGATGAATGTCCTGAGTAATTTTTTATATATACATATAACTGTAATTCAGCTTTAGTTTCATAGATATTTCGAAATATTCAAAGATATTCCGAAAGATAATTTCACAATCCACAGCTGTGATATCACCATTCATGATTTACATAATGTGACATAAATATTAAGTTTCTTACAATTAAGAAATTATTTAAGAAATTGGTGTCATTTCAGTTATTATATCGGAAAATACAAGTATGCAACTGTCAAAGTCGTAGTGCAACAATTAATAACTCAGAGACGAAGCCTCGATCGCAATTTCGTCTTTCTTGATTTTTGTTTCGGTTCGGCGTATAGAAAAGTGTCTCATATTTTTATTAACACCCCGTAGACGAAGGTCATTGAAATATGGCGTGGTGTACCCTATTCTATTAATTACTTCAGCATTTTATAACATTTTACATCTGTGCCAAAGTTTATTCACTTTTAACAAAAATGTGGGGCATTTCTACAGGGTGGATTCTACATGGAAATTTGAGACAAAAATCAAGAGTGACGAAATTGTATTCGAGACATCGTTTTCGGTTATGAATTGTTAAAAATACGCAAGAAATAAGTCTAACGCGATGGGTTATTCTGTTCATTCGTTTCATTTTATTTCATTCATTAAATTTAACTAGGTCATTAATCGAGCCCGTGCATCAGCTGAGAATCGACAGTTCGCATAATAGATATAACCCATCGTGCCAGATATACTTCACGTGTTTCTTGCCCTTATTTTCAACAACTAATAACTTGAAAGTGAAGCTTCAAACATAATTTCGTCAGATTTTCATTTTAATCTTGTGTGTAGAGTCCACCCTGTGAAAATATCTCACATTTTTATTAACAACTTGTATATTAAACTGAAGTGAATTAAGAATTTCAGACTATATCATTTCTGCTAGTTTTTGAGTCCAATGAATGAATAATGAATAAGAGTATACAATTCAATATTTCTTCATACCATGACTTACTTAAGTAATTTCAGCCTTACTTAAAACTTGGTATGAAACAATATAGCGTCTAATACATTTAATTGAATTTGAATCATACGGTGAAAGTATTATTCATACTGAATAACTGATTGTCTAGCCTCCTCTAAAACATTTAAGGAGAAACATACTTTCCACAGCAGACAGCTATTTTATCTTATTATTAATTATTTATCCAATATACAGCACCCAGTTTTTAACATCTCACTCAAGCATGACTTGTCTTTCCTATTGCATAATCAGATTTCTATTGTCATAATTTATACCTAAATGTGCTTGAGACAAAGTAGAAGACGAATAGTTCGACCGCACAATCATATTACATTGAGGTCCAGTTGCAGTGACTGTCGCGAAAAATTATCAATGTAGCATAGGTTAATATAACATTTGATGTATATCCATTCTAATGCTATCAACACTGATACAAAACTGTGTATGAATTTCCAAAGTGTGCACGTGTGTACGTCCAGAATGGCCAAGCCAACGATATTTGTACTTTGGAGAGAATGAAACAAAGAAAAAGAAATTTTTGCATTGAAATTAATATTTGATAAGAAATTAGAAGAAAAGATTAGACAAAGAAAAATATTTTGGAATGCAGCTAAAGCCAAATTTCATACAATATGTATTTCTTTACTATCTCATATGTATTTACTAAGATGGTCCTTTCAGATTACGATTTTCAATGTATTTTGGAAACAAATGTTCTTTCTAAATAGGATAATTGCATACTTTCTTGAACTTGTATAATAAACGATATTTACATATCAAATCTTACTAATTTAGATCTAAGAACAATGAATGTGGTGAATCCTTTTCATTATTTATATTCTACAGCAGAAAAAACAGTTCAGTGCAAACTGAATATGTATTATCTTGAGAGCAAACTTACTTTCTTTAACCTAAAACATTTTAAATGTGTTGAACGTCATATATATTTGATTAAATATACTTTTAGATAGCTTACACATATATTTGTGTATATATATTTTTAGTTAAAATGAAAGAGAATCTGTTATGAAAAAAATGTAATGTATGAAATTCATTTGTATGTTTAATGGAATTACAGATAAATAGAAAAAATAAAATAAGGTCCATAGAAAGCAAAAAACAGTGAAAAATTTAAAAGCACTTGGTAAATACAACACTCTGCAACATAGAAGATGTTAATAAAAATGTGAGAAATTTTCACAGCATGAATTCTAGACATTGAAATAATTGGAAAAGTTCATATGCACATATGTTCAATCTTGCTTCAGGTTTTAATTATACGCAGTTTGAAATTATTTCCTGAAATGTTCGATTGACACAATTGTAGGCAGATAATTTTGATCAAAAAGACAAATGAAGAAATGAATAACATATACACATGAGGCGCGAGCTAACTTAATAGTGACCTTATCAATGCGGGGAGCCTTCGAACACTAATCGACGATTTATTTTGTATTAATTTCTATATGGCGAAATGCATTAAAAAATGTGATTCCATTTTAAAAAAAATTACTTTAATCGTCATGTGTTCTCTACGCACCCACCAACAAAAAAACTACTTATATGAAATTGTGTTCCCCTTTTGAAACCATTTCAAGTTGAAATTTTCAACTCATATTAAGCATTTTTCGATATAATCAACGGTTTCGAAAATATTCGCGGGGATCAACTGAAATGAATCACCCTGTATATAAATATAACTTTCTCTCGTTATTTTAACATCCAGAATCCACTCTTCAGAAATGTCTCACATTTTTACGAACACCTAACAAACAAAGTATTTATCATATACAATAACTCATGCTCTTATTATACATATTCGAAATGAAACATTAATAATGAAGACAAAGGAAATGCTTCATTGCTATGGTGTACATGTGACACAATTATAAATACTTATCCAAAATATTCAAAAAGTTTAATTTGAATGTAAATGACATATTACTTTATAAAATCTGCAAGTTTTAAAGAAGTTTTATACAAATGCAAGTACAATTGTCTTCCATTAGAATTCTAAGTGGTAATACTATACATAGCTTGAAACAAACAAAAATTGTTTATTTAAAAATTGTGTGTCAGTTATATAATTAAAGTTTTAAACGAGTATAGTATTAAAATTTGTTGATCTTATTATGGTGTATAATAACACGTATTGTTGTTTAAAAATTTACATATAATATGTCAAATATGTTCAGCCTTTAATATAAGTTTCTAAAGAATTGTTTTCCATTTTCATAATTTAAATGAAGATGTTCTGTTCATAAAGAGTTCATGATTGCTGCAATGACTTTATAGTTTTCCGTTCGTTGTATTCAATAAATTCGATTCGAAATTCAATGAAATTACATTATCGCGAAAAGGGTATGAAGAAACAATTAATGTTACATAATGTTTTAATTTACTAATATATTTATGAGAACAAAAATATAAGAAAATGAGTTATTATCAGTGATAAAATGCTTTACCCTTGCACATTATCGTATTTAACTTTTATATAAAAGGTTGGCTTGGCTCTTTCCAAATTCAACATTAGGGATCAGAATAAACAGGATTGAATACATGATATATGAATTATTTTTTATGTTACTGTGTTCTTCGAGAAAATGCTTCCAAAATTAATTGTTACCTAGTTTCAAAAAGAAATTCTAAAACGGCCCCTACATTTTTATAATAAATATTAACAGTAGCATAATCAGTTGACAAACCAGTGTTTTATACACATGATAGACGATGGAGTCAGGATTTTATAAACATTTTTCCAAGTGCTTAATTTAAATAATGCTTATACAACAGTTAAATCGTGTGCTTTTTTGAAGACCTGTCAGATTCACAATGAACATTTCAGGTTTATAAAGTTTATTAATGGAAAGTGACATTTTAACTTACAATTAAAGTACTTGAGCATCTGCTCATAATTATCAAATAATGGGACCGGAGTAGGATTTTACAAAACATACATACAGAAACGTTAAGGACTTAAGCTTTTATTATAAATGTTAAGCTTTCATGAAATGTGAGAATGCCAACATAGTGTCACCATCACTTTTCTTACTAATTCTCAGACTCTGTTGAACTACTGAAGAAAATGTAATTTATTTATTGTAAATAAAAAACATATATATTGCTTAAAATGTTTTATATTATATGATCTGCATTAATAAATAATTGACGTAATTCGGTGAAAACTGTAAGAAACGTAAAAAATTTAAAGTTTATAAAGAGCTACAAAATATATTTGGATTAATATCGTTATAAGTTTCTATGGTACTTTGCTAACGCAAAAGTACAACTTTATGAATAATGTGGGATGGGAATAAATATTTAATTTAAAATAACCTTGTGTATTTTTATTATAAATTGTGACCTTCGCATAAAAAGTAACATATATATAATTAAATTGTTACATTAATCTGTGGTATTGTCTTACTTTAAATTCTTAGACTTATTATTTACACTTTATATATATATCGTAGATAGTAGATTTATCTTGCGTCAAATACAACAACTAAGCATTATTAAGGAAAACAGTTACTACTTCTTTATGGGTTGTATACTCGTTGACAACATGTGATTTAGCTGAAAAGGGTATAGTACGATCATAAATTTAATCAAGTCCTACATTACAGACAGTGAGAACAAAGGAAATTGATACCAACAAACAGTTCAAAAAAAAAATTTTTATATTGAAAAAAGAAAATTTTTTATATTGATGAGTATTACAAGACAGGAAGAAACTTCAAATGAAATTCTAGTCAGAAGATACAATTTTTCGAATAATTAATACAGCACGGTTAGTTACAAACTTTCATCTTTGTGGCATAAAGGCATGGAAACCTATACTTGAGTTTCCAATTTAGGATCGCACTATTTTTTCTAGACAAAATCTAACTGCATATCAAGTTGGTGAGAAAGTAAGGTAGACTTCTTATCATGAAAATAACCATAAATTAAATTAAATTTGTATGTGATCTATAACTGTTGTTATAATTTATTGTAATTTAAATTGTTCTCCAATTACATACTCAACACTTACACCATTGTAATTGAAAGCAGGTATTATTATGTTCAATGTTTCAATATAGAAATAACCCAATTTGTGGTATAAATATTAAGATATCTCAGACAAATTAGATCCCAGAACCAATTTATAAAAATGTTATCCCCAGTAATATAACTTACTTTAAATAATTACAATTAAATTACATCAAATTGATTATGTAAATATTATCTAAACCAGTCTTACATTCCTACCAACCGATATTTTTGTTAATGCTTAGAATTTGATTATAAAAGGATACGTCTTTTGGTACGTTTCTTGTACATAATTCTATAACCACACTCTCTGCATCGAATTGGGTCTCTGGGACGTATTTCGTTATCATGATGACATTCTGGAACAACATTTATGGTTAATACAAAAATTATTTTGACTGTAGTGAAGTATGTACCTATAATAGTACGAAACATGATCTTTGTTCCAATTTTCCCTAATGAAAAAGGATTTCTAAAAATTTAGCAGTCTTATATTAAATTGCCAATAATCTATGGATGTACAGGGTAGGGCAATAACGATGTCCACTTTGAATATTGCCGTTACTTGTAATAACATGAAAAAATGTTATATATAAAACTTACACGGTATAGAGGGGGACACATTGTGACACAAACATTTTCTGCATGGGTGAAGTTATAGAGGAGATTTCAAGGTCATCTCTATTTTTTTAATGGAATGCTATGTTTTTTTTACCGCAATGTGATAACCGGTGTTGAGACGACTTCAGCGAGCTATCATTGAAGGTCATGCAAGGTCAAATGTGGTAGTAAAATAAACTTTCTTACATTACAGGAAATGCTTGAAATGGTGACTGTTTGCATCAATGCAAAGTTGCAATCTTCGTATCACTGCATCACGTGCATGTCTTATCATTTCTGAACTTATTCTAGCACATGCTGCAATTATCCGTTATTTCATATTTTCTGGTGTAGTGAGTACTTCTTAATAAACAGCATTTTTCAATGCTTCCCAGAGAAAAGAATCTAATGGGGTTAAATCTGGACATACAATCACTTACAACTTACAATATGCCCCTCTCTATACTGTATAATTTTGGTATGTAACATTTTTTCATATTATTACAAATAATGGCAATATTCAACGTGGACATAGTTATTGTCCCACCCTGTATGGACTTCCTATATTTAAATGTAACTAAGCCTTTAATTTTATTTTTATAAGTCGTAATGCACCTAAATAGACCAGCCATGACTCAAGGTTTTCGATATACATAGTGATCGTCCCACTGCTAGGATGAAAAGTCAAGCCACCTGCTTTGTTGTTTAAAAAAACAACAGACCGTAGTTTAATGAATTATTATTAATACTGATTCTGTATGTTATCACAATCATCTATAAAAATCAATTTAAAACAAATGATTATTAGACAACTAGACAGATAAAAAATAATCTTGTATCCACCACATATACTCTACAGTCAATTAAATAAAATTTTCCATTTTATATTGGACCGAGGTAATTGATATGAATAAATGTGAAACTCCATAAGAAACTATTATGGCTAATATATTTAGGAAAACAGAATAATTGAGATTATTCTATAATAAATTTGAACATCCATGAAGACTGTTTATTACTAGTAAATTTATTATCAATAGTACTAAATATACAAAAATAAGAAAAAAGTGTTTAAATATAATTTAATCATTTTATAATTATTATAAATTATACTGGAATTACTCACTGGGAAAATTTTTATTCATTGAAGATTAAATAATATATTAATAATTAATTCAACAGTAAACGATTAAGAATTTTCATTAATAACATATAAACCTAAAACTTTTCTTAAAAATAGATCAAACTGCATGAGTTACAATGCCTGTATCACATAAATAGTACATACTTATTTTACAAGAAAACATTTGTTTGTGTGCACACGTAGGAAGTGAGGTTAGAAGTAATTAACTACAATTTAGCCATACCTCCACAAATATACACCATGGCTTGTTTTGGAGTTGATTCTGACTTGCTGGATTCCATTTCAAGCGAGTTCTCAAGTGTAATTAAACAATATTTCGAATAATATACGTTTCAATAAATTCGAATTGGACGGTGTCCTGTGAACCGAACGTCAGCCGGCATACGTTGTGTTTCAAATCGTCAAAGTCGGATCACGTGAGATTAATTGTACTCGAATAAAAATGTTATGTATGTATATATTATGTACGTACAGGTTCAACTATTGTTTCCAACGAACAAAACTATTAAAAAGGAAATACATTTGAAATAAATTACTGTTTTTATGTATGTACATATGTACTTCGTCGATGATATTACACGTCGATCATCAGTAACCGACAGAGAACTTTTGGTTTACGCTGTGTCGGTTACCGGTGACCAGCACAGCAGTGAACGTGTTAAACATGTAAAAAAAATTGCTAATTTTTATAACATTCTAAATTAGTTTGTTGATGATTTTCAAAACAATATAACCGTCGTACATTAATGTAGCAAACTTGTATTTTTCATTTTATATGATGATATTGTAATGGTCAGACGACTTTAGTCTGAGCCTTGCTGTATAAAATTTGTGAACTCAACCTCCTTAAGAAGTACCTTGTTTATACTTCGTTGATCTTACCAAAGTTTTGTGTGTGTGTAGATTATATTCAATCATTGTCTATTTATTTAAACAAAAAATAAATTCAAGGAAATATTTTCAAACTTCATGTTTCATTTGTAATTATTTAAAACAAGATCTTACATGTAAGAGATTGCTGTATTCAAAAGATTAATTATAATAATCATAGTTATAAAGACTTTCTACATAATTACTATCCTAATTAAACTGTAACATATATTCCATGAATATTTAAAAACTATTTTTATACTGTGATAACTTTTGAGAATTTTTCATAAAAAGTATACATACAATAATTCGTTATGTAAATCTTACGAAACATATTCTAAGAATATTAAACATATTTATTACTGATATTTTTATTATTATTGTTATATTTGTTATTATGAATATTATATAATAAAAACATTTTAAATGCCGTATCATTATTGTAAAAAATGTAGAAATACATTAAGAAAAACATTTGACTTGGAAATTTTGCGAAAACAACCAACAAGATGGCATGTTATATAATGAAATCAATTATTTTATTTTTATCAGTAAAATTGAATTTCCATTTGAAGAGAAAAATATTTAAAGATGTTTGACAACTAAAAAACATTCATACTTTTAATTTTCCTCTAGGACATAATGAGTTTTAGTCATCTTGAGACAGATCGGATGGTAGGGACTACCTAACAGGGATTGACTCTGGGAAAAATGGCATGTGCTTCATCTGAGTGGTCAGAGTAATCAGCGCCTTCACTATCTTGATCAGATGGCATATTAAGCATATGCGCCCCTCTTTGGTCTGACACCATAAGTGGTTGATGTGAGACATTGTCCATGTTTTGCCAGTTTCCTGATTATTCTAGTTTGGAGGTACATTTCCTAAGGTATAATTTCTTATCTCCTATTAGCTGCCAGTACTTCAGTCTCTGGCTTTTTAGGTTGTGTGAAATCAATGTTTTTAGATGTATTCCATTGGTTATTCTTACTTCTTCTCTTTGCCTTTTACTGGGTGTTAGTACCAGGTAAACCTTAGGCCCTGTTGTAACAAAGGAATATTGAATATTAGAATATAGTGGTCGCTCTATCTAGGAGTTCTCCTGGAGTTTCCCCTTTACCCATTGTCACAATAATGGGATAGGTGTTGGTTATCCCTTCGCAGGCACCAGAAAGGTGCATCTTACCCCGCCTTGTCTGCTCATTTTGCAGTCCAATTGCAGTTTAATTTTAATCATCATAACTTTAGAGAATCCCTACCTATTATTTCGCTGACGCACATTCTCATACATGTTCATAATGTGCAACATCACTTTTAAAGAATTATTACCTACCTACATCAAAACTGAAAATTTCTCAGAAAATTTACATATAATTGTAAGGATTATTAAAAACTAAGAATTTTACACTTATTTCGTCAACATTTTGATAACGCATAAATTTTTTTTGCAATACACAGCATTTTCAAACAGACATACATTATGTCGTTACGTGTCGATATTCTGTGTTGAGTAACTTTTAACAAATTTGAAATGTTATCTCAAAAATTATTGCTTAACACTATCACTTCTATAATTGCTACTATTTTGTTATTACAGGAAAATAGTTATTTCCGAGAAATGATGAAGAAAACAACACGCAAAACGTCATGATTTCAACGGATTCCCGTAAGTCAGTTTCGAAAGGGAAACAAGGAACCAAGAAAGTCTCCCCAGCAACAGAATTGAATAAGTGCAGCAACCGCCACTAGAGGTGATACCGTCGCAAACACGGGAACAACTCTGAGCCAATGGTAGCACTTGGTAACAAATGGCGGGATGAGACGAGTGATCCGATTGGTTACGCAATCGCCATGGGAGCCGCGGTGGGACAACGAATAAACAGATTTCAAAGTTTCGAAGCTTGCAGTGAAAGAACATACAGCAGACAGAGAGAGTTGATGCCCGCGTTCGCGTGTTTACCGCGAATCCTTACTTCAAATTCTATCATTGCGGTGATTGATACTTGAGCGAGCAGGATTTCATTTATAAACTAGTTTGGAATATGTCGTTCGCAATGTCACTTGAAAATAGTTGTGTCTGTCGCTAGAGACAAGGAAATATCGAGCGTCGTTTTTCTTGTTTTCACCGAAGAGCGGCTTTTGTTTACGAAGAGGAGGGGTGACTTCCACGACCGACGAGGATTCACAGGCAGATGTTACCTGCCAGCCAGTTTCCCGCGCGACGCACGTGAGAACAGTGAGTGGGGAGTGTAGTGTAGCATACACGAAACTTCTGTGATCTATAGTTTCGAAAAGATGTGATGCGTAGTAAATCGGTGAAACGTCAACACGGGAAAACGTGCATAGACAGAAACGGTTTGTTTTCTGTGGAGAATTAAAAGAAACGACACTAATATGCTTCTGATTCAGAAGCATTTAATCGAGCGCAAGAAGAGGTAGTCGAATAGGTATTTGTCATTAAATTTTGCTCCAAGAAATTATGGAAATGGATTCGATGAAAAGTATAAACATCGGCGAGACGCCTCACAGCACGATAAATTCGAGCAGCCGTAGTTCACATGACAGTGTCGACAGTGGTTATTTTACACTTACACCACATTCTGGTGCATACACGCCGATACTCGCAGGATGCAGATCCAGAGTGTCATGCATTTCGTCAAAGCGGCACCACAGAATCAGATTAGATCCTCTTCAATCGGAACGGGCTCAAAGACATCGATCAAAATTAAATCACCTTTTAAATGCTTCCGAGTCGGATTATTTGATATCCGAGAGCTCGCGAAGGGAAAATGTGACAGAAGATCAGTCGAGTTTGAGTGACAATCATCAGAGTTTGTCGTTTGAACATTCAAGTGCTGAATTAATAAATCAAAGTACAGGATGTGGCGAGTTTGATGTGAATTTTCGGGGTAGAACACGTCGTACCTGGAGGACGACGGTTCCTATAACACCGGCTTCGACAAGGTTGCAACTTCTTTCACCGCCACCGTCGCCAGCGGTACCTTCCTCTTCGTTCGTCGCCTCCGAACCTATTGAAGAAGATGTTGAAATGAAGCTAGTCATCGTGTCGCAAAGCACACCCCAAATACAAATTTCACCTAGACACAAGACACCACCACCGCCGGTTCCACGTGTTGTTATCTCGCCAGCCTGTAGAAGAGGTAGTCCTGCAATTAGTTCGGTAGAAAATCAAAAACTAAACCAGCTCTCTATCACAGATCTTGCTGTCATAGCTGAGATCAAGCCAAAGAGGTTGGACTTCAGTCATAGTGCCTTATCCGCTGTATTGCGCCGTACTAGAGCTACTCCAGATTATACTGGCAGAGAAACAGTGGATATACTATCACTTTTAGGTGACAAGAGTAACCACTGGAGGATAGTGTCTAAGATATTGTCCCATCTTGCACCTCAGGATCTGTGTTCAGTTAGTATGGTATCCAAAACTTGGAGGAGGATCTGCGTCAGTGATTCTAGAGCCAACACGAGAAGGCTGACCCATATAATACTCAGGCAGAATGCTAAAGAAAATTTGAAATTAATCAAGAAGTCGAAGATGGAAGGAGATATACAGTCCAGTCCTAAAAGCAGATATGCAAGGAAGGGCTACCTGTTGGAAGTACAGAATCTTCTTCATGTACAGAAGAATCAGCGGCCACCCAATAGTCCACCTGTTTCTCCCAGCAAAGTAAAATTCCATTCTTTTGTCAAGGTAAGTAAAATCTGAAATTTCCATCTACAGATACATTTATAATAAGTCTCCTATTTCTATACTAACAAAGCACCTTCAAACCATGGGATGATATATCAATAAATCTGTTTACATCTGGTACTTACTAAACGTTAGATTGGTCACAAAATTACAAAGAGTCAAACTAGTTTATACAATTAATTGAACAATAATACTAGAAAAAGACGAATTTAGATTCATTAATAATCGTTTCATTGCCCTTTTGATCCGTTGAACAAACGTGAGAAAAAACTTGACATATTACTCTAGGCGGTGTAACGTTGAAATCGTGTACCGTGTTTATCGCGACAGATCGCATTCGATACCGGCAAAGAAAGTAATGTATAGTGCACACCACTGGGAGTTGTATTCTTCGCTGTTATCGGGTGACACCGGCAGATGTTCTGACAGTTTTCGGCAGGTCGTTTTTAATATGAAAAACTTCCTCCAAGTTCAATATTCTCTGTTTTTTCTTTAAACATACTTTTCCCAAATAATAATCTCTTCAGCGAAAAACTTAATTGCGATAAATTGAATTGAAATGGATATTACCAGTACATTCTTATAAAAAGCCAAACTTCATGGATGCACTTTAGTCACTGTAATGATAAAAAGGCATTATATATATATATATATATATACATACGTACAGAAATGCTTTATGTTCGAGATACAGCGTTTAAAAGTTTTATATAAGAGGATACAGTGTTCGAAAAAAGTATTCATACACTACTATACGCTCTATTTTGGACGATTACTATGTACTTTAGTTACAGAATATTATTTTAACAAGAAAAAAAGGTGTTTGGCAATCCAGGAAGTATGTAATTCAATAGGTAGACTAATGAGAACACTTCTTTCAATAAGATATTTCAAAATGCATTATCTACGTGCTGTTTCCTTATTTTCGAATAAATTTTGGCCCCTTATTTTAGTCATTTAGAAGTTAGTTTATTATTTTAGAACGTACAACGGAGCTTCTCTGTAATATCACAGTTAATATTCCGCGCGGTAACGGCAGAAAACAAGGATATGTATATCCTAGGTATAGTTTCTCCTTAATTGACTAATAATGATCTACATCGGTGAAACATTCGGTACGGAGTCTAGCGAGGTCTGTCAAAACCTATAATTATGGTTGCTGTTTTTTGTTTTCACACAGGCTCAGAATATCTGAGAATAATTATGTAGTACTAATCATCTGTGACCCAATAGCCCGCGGTTTCTTTTAACAGTCCGATACTCCTATGTGTCTTGTAAAAGTAATTTGCACAAAATTATCTCTACAAACTAAGCAAAATAATTGTTTCGTCCGTACGATCGCCCTATGGACGTTGATTTATTATGATTTCTTTTCTGAAATTCTAGATTTAGATTGAATATCTAGAAAGATCCGGGCAGGCTTAATGAGCTTTTTAATCGTCGCAAATCTTATATTATGCGAAAATTTAACCATAATGGATTTTCAAAGCGATTTCAAAGGGTTAACTTTGTTCCAACGACGTCTTTTGTATTGTTATATATTAAAAACATTTATAATAATATATTTCCTTTAATTTGGCTTACTACAAACGTATAATTTTCTTTAAAATTAAAATGAAGCAAATCAGTTTTGTTAATCGATTTTTCAGATAATTAGTCCAGGAAAAACAAAGTTTCGTATATGATATAAAACGATCAGAAATAACACAACTTAAAAAGATTGAAAATTACATATTATATTGTCAACTAAAGCGTTACACCAAACCCAGTAAAATATAGAATATAGATTTAACAAAACAATGATGTTGTACTTAGAAAAATGGGAAAGCCCCTTATTTTTATAAAATGAAAGGAATAAATAAACATTCACCAGTAACATAAATAATTCACTTAATAATGATAAAATTAAATGAAATATTTAATAAAAACTGAAACGGAAAACGCAGTCTTTAACTTCGCAAGTTATTTAAATTTGCTAAATTTAAGTAGTAAAATATTTCATTGGGGTGATAGCATGCATATTGAACAAGGTTATGTCAAACAGAACATAGATGGTAGATAGAGATGATGCAGGAAAACTTGTTCTATATTTGAAAATACCATTTTCGGAAGCTCACATCTAACCATATATACCTATATTATTATAATATTGAAAATATTTAAATACACATTGCTTAATTATTAATATAAACAACACTTTTTTGTGTTGAAAATAATTACAATATCAAATGTCGATGGGTCGATACTCATTCAAATTCAATATGAGTACTTTTTTCGATACCTACTTGGTATCGCAACCGTATGTACCGATACCAAAAGTACTCGGTATCGAAACAAAAGAATCGAGTAATGTACTCGTATTTACTTGTGTCGATTCATCTCTAATGCAGTTGATTCGCAGGAGGGAATTTCTTGCGTATATTTTTCCATAGACAATCCCTGGTTTGTGGGACATAGTTTTCATTCACCCATGAAAACGAATGGTACAGCGCGGTGTTAAACACATCTGCTCGATGGTCGAACACGACTGGGTACCTGCCATTTACACCTTGAGGTTCCATGGGTGTGTATTTCTTCTCGCGTTAGATTGCTATAGCGGTAGATTACAGAGCAGACGGCGGCTTTGTTATCGTAATGCGAGCAACAAAGCCTCTCGAGCCATACTAGCCGGTACTTCAAGGTCTCTTGTTATGTGCACCGCGATAACAAAGTATTCATCGGTATCTTGACCATGGTGACTTAACGTTGCTTTAATCTGTCGTCAGTCATACGCGAATTAATTTACCACACTTGTCTAATGTGAATAAATTGCCGTAATGAGTAGTCAGCGCTCGTAATGGAATCGTGTAATATTGTTCTTGCACGATAAAATCTTTTTTTTTTAACTTTAAAAAGGATACAAAATGTTGAAGGAAAATGAAAAACAAAGAACTCTACCGTAAATATTATTCTATCGAAGATTTCTTATTTCAAAAGGGTTGGATTTTTCAGCTTACAGTTTTTCTTCCTTTTTTAATCTGACAATAAAAAAACGTAGGCCGATCATTTGAAATATTGATTATCAACACACCGAAGGAGTCACGAATGTTCATTATATTGTATTAGAAAAGAATCGGTTACAAAGATAGAATAATAAAAATTATAAAACCACAGAAAAACTGCTATCAACTAATTATATGCGAAGTTAAAGCAAATTATGCAATGAATTTGGTTACTTTCGAACATCATCAATTTTTAGTAAATATGACTTGAATTTATATATTTCAAGGTAAAATATAGATATGTTAATAAAAATTGACGATGGTCGAAAAATAGCAAAATAATACTATCGTCATGGATATTAGTTATCGCATAACGAACAAAAATTCCTGTCATCAATAATGATTATCGGTAACCAAAATAACATTCTCGTCGTCTATAATGATTCTGTGCAACCTAAAACAATTTTCGTCCTTGATAATGATTATTTATAATCAATATAATTTCCGTAGCCAATCACAGTCATTCGCAACAAAAAAAAATGGTTATTCGTAACCGAACAAAATTTTCGTCATCAATTGTTACTGATAATCAAAAAAATTGTAATTATCGATAATTGTTATTCATAACCAAACAAAATTGTCGTCAATTGCTACTGATAACCACACAAATTTTTATGTTACTCGTAACCAAACAAAATTTTCATCATCAATTGTTACTGATAATCAAAAATTTTTTTAACCATTTATAATAGTTATTCGTAACCACAATCATTCACACAAAGATATTAACTTTTATACCGTAACTTTTTAAATTATGGTTATAACAGTTAGGGTCTCTGGTCAATACGTGGCCGCTGCAAGAGACGAGACCCTTTTCCTTCTGCATCTGGGACGCAGCGAATTTTCTCCTTTGGAGGGCAAACCGCCGCTAGCCCTCCAGCAAAAACCAGCCGCGGAGAACAATGCGAATATATTACAATATTCCGTTCGCTACAACAAAGAACCTTAGCTGTTCTTTCCTTTGTCTCTTACGAGGGTTGCCCAGGGATGCGACATGCCGAAACTACCCATGGCCCGTGGTTATTCGAAGACGGACCATCCCACGAAAATCGTCCCGTAAAACATTCGCCGCGTCCGTACGGTCTAGCCAAAAACATTCATGTCGTCCTGAAAAATACAGTAGTAGGTGAAAATAGTATTCGTACACCTTTTAAAACAGAACATCTCTTTTAAAATTGGACCAAGTGACTTGAGTTTCTTTGTGAACTTAGGAGGATTAGTGTACTGAATGGTGTGTTAACAAAATGTTGAAAAAGTTGCAATTGGTTGGAATCGCGAAGAAAATAGTAAAGGTCGCTCTTTTCAACTTTTTTTTTTATCTGAGATTGTAATGAAAATTTAATAAATACATTGCTTAGATTTATGTTAGTTATATGCATGCTGAAATCGGTTAACGTTGTTATGAGATACAAACGGTTAAAAATGTTGAAAAACGCAGTTTCTTCGCGACTTTTGACCTACAACTATAGTATATCTAGGGATGTTCCGATACCGTTGAGGTGTCGATACTTTTACTTATTATTTGTATCGAAAAAAAGTATCGTTAAAAATTAATAATTAATACAGTTTTTTTTTTTTTAATTTCTTATTACAATATTTTATTAACAGAAATTAACAGAAATTAAAATATTATATTAATAGAAATTTATTTTATTAAATTAAGTCTATTCCTAGTCTGGGTAATTGTTGCTCCCGTCTTTAAAAATAACCGTTCACAAGGAACAGAAGAAGCAACTACTACCAGGGACATTCGTGCTTGTTTATATAATAACGGATATATTATTTGTATATCTTTCCATTCTTCTACAGGAGAAAAGTGCAACACAGAAACAGGGGAAAATAAATAGTTTGATTGTTGAACATCTTTATTGTTAATTTTTTTTTGCTGATCTACTGCCAGTTTTTTGTGGTGATTCCAAAAAGTGTTGATCGTATCGATACTCGTTTCATTCGATACGA